ATTGGTACTTGAAGGACCAAATTTTCTGTTCAACCAGTGATGTTAATTAAAAGGAGTAAAGCAGGAGGCAGAGTACATTTCCTCAGGAGAAGAAAATGCATAAAGAATGAAGCCATCCGTTTGTAAATTAAAATGGAATACCTCATCCCTATGGTAGGTTTGCCAACCATATCCTGGGCAGCATCAGAGAAGCATGATGAGTAGGTTGAGGAAGGTAATTCTGCCCCTTTACTCTGCTCTTGTGAGACCCCACCTGGAGTACGGTGTCCACTTCTGAAGTCCCCAACACAAGAAGGATATGGAGCTGTTGGAGCAGGTCCAGAAGAGGGCTGTGAAGATGATCAGAGGGTTGGAGCATCTGCCCTACAGGGATGGGCTGAGAATGCTGGGGCTCTTCAGCCTGGAGAAGAGAAGGTTCCAAAGAGACCTTATAGTGGCCTTCCAGTACTTGAAGGGGGACTAAAGAAAAGCCAGGGAGGTTTTTTATAATGGAGGGTAGCAAAAGGACAAGGGGAAGTGGTTATAAACTAGAAGAGGTAGACTTAGACTAGGTATCAGGAAGAAGTTTTTTACTGTGAGGACGATGAGATGTGAGGAACAGGCTGCCCAGCGAGACTGTGGATACCCCCTCCCTGAAAGCACTCATGGCCAGGCTGGATGGGGCTGTGAGCAACTGAGCGAGAGGGGAAGTGTCCCTGCCTATAGCAGGGCGTTGGAACTCGATGATTTTAAAGGTCCAATCCAACCCAAACTTTTCTATGATTCTATAGGTCGAATGTTTGAAGTCTTAGATCTTCTGAGATGACAAATATTCAGAGATGGCTGCAGTGTTACATTTCTAGGTTGTGACGTTGTATGGAATGTTTCTGAAAGATGGGGATGTCTGAAGTAGATTAGGTAGGCAAGAGAAATTAGAAGAAAATCTCTAGTGATTTAGGAAGTTGCAACAATGGAAAAGTGTGTCTTTTGGGATATGTGAAGTTAATAAAATAAGCTCATTATCATCAGCTTTGCCTGAGTTTTGTAAACCTTTTAGGACTTACGTTTGTCTGATCTCTGCGGAGCAGCCATACAAATATAGTTTGTTATTTAAGTGCTTTTATGAATACAGCTTCTTAAGTTGATGCAGAATACTGCAGTCAAAAAATATGTGACTTGATTTTTCATGAAATTGCAGAATGTCTGCTGTGGAAGCTACAGACCACAGTTTTGTTTCTGTTTGCAGAAACAAGAGAAAATTTGACTCAAAATTACTGCATGCTTAGAATGCTACTGAATAGGTCAAACATTCTGTTCTGAAAGGGCACCTCTTTCATCAAAGCTAATACAAGAAGAGCAAGTACTTCTTGCATTTATTATGGCAGAGGCAGAAGTGGCAATAAAACAAAATCTGTGGAATTGGTTTTCTGATGAAGGAATATTGCAGACACCATAGAGTGTTAGTGGAAGGAGGGCACTGTGAGCTTGTTTTGCTCATCTCTGGCTCCACCTAAGAAATGTGTGGTGAGATTTTTGTTGCTGATTTTGGTGAGTAAAAGAATAGTCCTGCTTGAAAAACTGGTGAATAAGCAGTTCACTGAATGGCTATAGCTATTGCCAGCCCTATAAACAGTGCTCATGAGGAAAGATGTTCCTCCTCTTCTGGTAATTCTAAATGTGACTTTTCTTACCAAATCCCTGCGTAGCCTTTCTTTGTTTTCAGTGGTCTCCAATCAAGGAGAAGCAGAAAGGGTGTATAATAAAATCTTAGAAATTGAAATCATTTAAATATCTATATTTAAATGCATATTTTTTAAGTACTCTGTTACTTAATAAATTAAATTTATTAAAGTTAAATTTATTAAATTTATTATTATGCTTTAATAAATTCAAAATTATTAAATTTAGGTTTAATAAAAAATGAAGGAATCCAAGCAATTTTTAAATCCTGACAAAACAGCAAATGTAAGGTTAATATAACCTTGTTTTTTCATTTCTGAACTTTTCTTACAGTTCAGACACTTTCAATTTGACCGTTCACGCACACGGTTATTAAAAAAAAATATGAACATTCATGAGCAGTGAATGCAAAGAACACAAGCATGATACAATCAAGCAGATGAGTGCTCAAAGTATAGACAACTCAGGTGTCTGTTTCAAGAGATTCTTCTCTTGCAGCCCTGAATGTGAAATAAATACAGGTGTATTCATGCATGAACCCGGGTACATGTAACTTCATCTGTCAGTGCCTTACACAAGCACTTAATATTCACTTCTAAATAGCAAACTGAGAGCAAACTGAGACATAGAGAAAAAAATGCCATGTCCAAGCTTGCCCAGTAGAAAAGTGGCAGATGAAAAGAGAATCTGTTTCCTTGTTTCTTGTATAGCCTTGTGCCAAATTTCTGCAGACCCTTGATCAGTACTTGTAAGTCTTTCTGTCATTATCGCTGTGATTTGAAAACATCTAAGAAGTTTTATCACATAGCGATATTCAGTCATACATAATACTCATGAAGAAACAACTCAGGATAAAGTCCTTGAGACTTTGGTACTGATATACCAGCATTTGAGTCAGCAGCTCTCTAAAAGCTCTGTGTTCTGTATGCCACTGTTAGATCCAGATTGCTTATGCCTTTTGGAAGTTGAGGGGAAACCCAATTCTGTACTGTATTTATATCCACATTTCGTCTAAAATCAGCTCAGTTGTCCCACCTTCATCATCTGTCTGTCCTTCTGGTGTTTACAAATACAACATGATGTGAATAGTTTATACTTTCAGGGAGTTGCAGTTTCCTTCCAAGTTAACATGTTGGTAGAGCACAAAAGGGCAAACCTCACAGGCAGCAATGACTGCAATATGGAGACTTGTAGAGGAAAGAATTCTACAAATGCTCTATTGATAAAAGTCCCTTAAGATTATACCAAAAATAAGCAACTAATATATTACCAAGTGTATATTCATGTTAAAATACCTGTCTTAAGTTATAAGTATTTATTTAAATGCTTTACTGGTCAATTTCCTTAAGGTCTATGATTCTGTAAAATTACTCTAAATTCTTTATGAAGGTCACAGGCTTAGTCCTGAAGCCCCTAGCTGAATGTACAGGAGAACAGCCATCCACGGGTACAATATGAGCTCCTCCAGGGCGTATTTTTTCCATTTTAAATTGCCTGCAGAGTTCACTGAAAAACTTTCCTGTGTTATATTGCATCTACGACTGAGAACTGTAGGAGTCAGAATTGCAGCATACTGCGTGTAAGGGAAGAGGTACTTGTAAGACCAAAGAATTAGTCACAGCTCTGTCACTGGTTAGTAAATATGTAATGCAGTAGCAGCACATCAGCTACGTGCCCTCCCATGCTCAGAGAGTGTGGGAATTTTAGGGATTCCCCCCTTGACTGCTGTCTATTTGTAGTCTTGATCAGCTGTTTTGCATGCATAGTTCTAGGGTATATAAAATGCTTTGGCCTCACAGGAGGGATACAGAGCAGGAGAGACTGAAAGAAAGCAACCTGCACAGAGAAGTCCTTCTCCTAGCAGATTTGGAAACATCTCTCACAAAAACACGGTAAGGACGCTGTGTCTCATTGCTCTATTAACTTTTCATTTGCTGCAGCTTGCAAAATGAAATAACTGTATAACAAACTATTTTATTTCCCTATTAGAAGCAAAGTATTGGAATCAGTCTCCTCTTTTATTTCCAGGCTATCCTGCTGCTCTGAAAACTTCATCCCTCTTCTAGCAGACTTGAAAGGTTTGTGGGTGTAATGGATAATACCATAAATGTTCTTTGAGCAACTCTGTTGTGAAAGCATAAAATGCAAGCAAGTTACTATACTAATGAATGGAAAATAGGAGCATCTTTTTTAATGTCTTTCTTTTCTCTCTTGTTTTCTCTGGTACATGCTTTTTCTTTCACCCTCTTTACTGCTCTCTTTATTTTTCTCTTTTTTTTCTTATTTCTCTTTTTTCTTTTTTTCTCATCTTTCCTTTTCTTTGTTTTTCTTCTCTCTTCATTTTTGTATGCTTTAAAATGATACACAGCAATATAATTTGTAATAATGCACAGGCGCACTGCAGCATTTTTTTATTGCAGTATAGTGATCTAGGTTTGTTCCTATTTTGTAACAGTACACAAATGCTTATTACACACTGTGTATTTTACTTGGCTTAACAGACAAGTTCTAGCACCTTTCAGTTTCTGCACAGATAGTTACTTTCATTTATTTTCTGTGTGATTTTACAGCACACAGCATCCTGGAGCCTAAAATGTGACTCTCATGAAACATACAAACTCTGTGACTAATTCTGCTTTACTGAGCAATTTTTTGCTTTGCTCCTTTTTTTCCTGACACACCTTCCCTGGCACAAAAATCTGCTTTTGGCAGAAAATCTATGTTACAGTAAATAAAAATAAGCTGCTTACAGTCTTATATAAATGCTAGATTTTACCTTCAAGTAGTGCCATGTATGTATATCTTACAAAATACAGAATTCAGCATCTTAGAATTCCATTTGGTTCAGGCAACTGAATATATTGCAAAATGCTTTGATTTAATTTAAAAACTTTTTTTTTCTGATGATAATCATTGTATGAATAACAGCAAAATTTTACATCCTTTTTTTCTTGCAAAGATACAGTGATATGAATTAGTACAACATTTAATGACATGTTACAAACTTTTGAAAAACAAAGAGCATTTCAAGGTGTGTCTTTCAGAGAATTTAAGCATGGATGTGTTGGCTGTTTTAGGCTATTATTTACGTAATAATAGAGTAAAACATGGTTGTAGCATTACTAAAAATAACAGTTCTCCTTATCAGTGTGTCATTACTGTAAGTATCAAGTAATTTTTCCTTTTTAAATGATGAAAGTTAATTAGATCAAATTCACTAATCTGCAGAGTTTCTGCATCCTCTTAAAGGGAGTTACCTTCTTAGTCAAAAACTGACCTTGTGGTTTTTTTTCTCTCCTCAGAAGCGTTCCCACATCACACAAAACAAGATTTCAGCACTGTGAAGTAAAAGCATAAATAAAGTGTACAAAATGCTGTGCCCATGGCAGTTTGCATTCAAGCCTCGTGTTGTTAAGAACCAGTCCTCTGAAGAGAAGGATATCAATAATAACGTGGAGAAAGATACGAAGTTCCATGGGTAAGATCTTTGTCTGTAATAGTTCTGTGGTTTCGCTTTTGTTTGAAAAGGAAAGATACTGTTGTGCGCTTCCACTGCAGTAACTTTAACAAAAGAGTGGTTGTCCCTGGGGGCATTGGGTGGTGTTGATTTAGTAAGGTAGTGTTGGTTTACTGAGGTACATTTAAGCTTTTGTATACATCACTGAGAAAATAAAGCATTGTAGTTAACTGTCATGGTTCTAAATTTATCTGGTATGCTATAATGGTTACATGTATGCTAAGACTTTGGAGGCATTTGTGTTCTATAAAAACATGAAAGCAATATGCTTAGTTTTTACTTTATATTGTATTGTCTTTTTGTCTTTGAAAGCTTTGTGAAAGATGATGCCAAATTACACAGTCTAAGCAAGAAGCAGATAGAGATGTCACCTATAATCACTTCAGCGGAGGTCAGTGATGGAGAGGGGTCTGTTTCTAGTTTCACTGATACTGACAGTTCACACAGGTTGTACTTGCTGCTCAGAACCTTTCAGAGTTCTCATGCAAGGAATAACTGTGGTTACATGAGGGTAGGGGTGATGTGAGACCTTTGGATGAAAGCTCTTTTCTGAATGAAAAGGTGCCTTGGTAAGTCTTGATGCCAGGTACCTAGCCCAGTAGGACTGGAGTGCCAAATTCCTTTATTCCTTTGAAAACCCAAGCTTTGTCCTTTCTCTAATTTTGTCTGATTTGCTTTTTTTTCCTGAGACTATGACTTTGAAATTACAAAGCTGTTTGTAGTGGCAAGTACTGTTTGGTTAGTACAAAAACACTTTTGTCTGTTTCATATCAAACTGTAGACCAGATCAATAGTTTTGTACTCAAATGAATAAATACCCTGTTGGAGAAGATCACATGTCAGTCTTTGCCTTTAAATTGTAGTATTCAATAGTAACATAAAAATAAAATTGAAGCATTATGATATTTAATGGGTGTGATGATAGTGTGTATTTCTGTCTTTTCTATGTCCAGAAACCCCCACAAAATGGTATCAAAGCTTCAAACCAAATATCAAGATGTCCTAGACATGTAAAAGTAAGGAACTTGGAAAATGGATCCAGCCTTCTTGACACATTACACCTGACAGCAAAGGAGGTAAGACAGAAACCTAAGCAGTAATTTTTCTGAACTTTCTGAAGATCTGTAGTGCAACATTGCTTTTTAAAATTTTATTATTTTTCAGGTTATCAATTGTCGGACCAAAGCTTGCCAAGGAGCACTCATGACCCCAAAGGGCCTGGTGAGAGGCACTAGAGATGGGCCAGTTCCTCCAGCAGAGCTTCTACCTCAGGCAATAGACTTTGTCAAGCAGTACTACAGTTCATTTAAAGAGTAAGCTAACTGTATCTTCATTTTTGGAATAAAATTCCTTTACCTCCTTACCTGTGTGTGCGACTAGGCTGCTTAATTTCTTGAGAGGCATTGGCAGTTACATAGCATGCTTCCAAAAAAGAGGTGATTATTAAAAAACGTGAACAGTATCATTACTGCACTTCATATTCTGCTTCTGCAATCCTCAGTCTAGAGATTACTACCGTGGACTCTTTCAGTGCATTTCTCAGCCCCATCCCTTCAGAGTGTGTTGCATTATAGTATACTAGAATAAGCAGGTTCTTCAGGGCTCTTTCAGAATGTGACTTTCTGTTTTCTTAACATTGGATGTTAATAGGATTGTCCCCTACTCGGATTAGTCTTAGACATGTGGGTAATGCTTGTAGTTTGTACTGTTCCGAGCATCTTTTCTCTGTGTTCTTTTATTGTATGTTTTACTTCTCAAGGCTTTGGCCAAAGTATGGAAGGACAGTTGATACCACAGAGCTTCTCAACCTTGCTCTGTGCTATCATCAACATAAGATTACTGAGCATGCTGAGAGCGATGCTTTAGCTTCAGAATTGGTAGAGATGGTGCAGAGAGATCTTGTTGCAGGAAAAGCTGGAAGAGCTGCCTGAGGTCCAAGAATTTGCAGTGTTAAAGTTTTCAAGTGACAAGCTTTCAGTGACAATTCTTCATTTGCGTATTTCACTATAAAATATTATCGGGCTTTCAAAGGGACTCAGCCACATAATGGCTTCTTCTTTAGAGACTTCGAATTCTTCTACAAAGCTTTATTCCAGCAGAATCTCTCAGAAAATCCCTGTTTTACATACAGACTACGGTTACTTGCCAGAGTATTACATTTGCACATCTCTGTGCTTGTGGTATTTGATCACATTGATTTACACTGTCTTATGTGCTTGCCCTTGATCTTTCATCTTGTTGAAAATGTGAAAACTCTCAGACAGTGCAGGCTATTTTCATTCTGTCTGTAGACCAACAAAACAATTTTTGTCTGTCCTGCGATAAATATTTCCTAATGTTTTGACTTCATTTTCTATTATCAAACTAAAAAAAATTAGTTTCCTTAACAAAATAATTGCTCAGCACTTCCTTTTTTTTTGCATCAAAATCTTACTTTGCTCAGAAGACTTCTGTTCCTGTGAAAGTAATTGAACTTTGAGAGAACAGTCGGTGTATTTCCATTTCACAACCAAGCAGTGAGGATATATGAGAAGGACAGATTTCTCAGTGTATATCAAACTTGCACTATCTGAAGCTGTATAGATACCAATCCCCTCCTAGGAAATGGGCTCTACCTGCATAATAGTACGTAAAATCAGCAATGCAGATGGAGGTCTCTTGCAAAAGGATGCAAAGGAAAACATCCAAAACTTGATGTTTTCAGCAGTGTCTGAGCTCTTCTTGACCCAGAACAAAAGAGGCATCTGCAATTTAGATCAGTTGTAAGTAATGAAATTTTCATTGTTTCTTTTCATGGCTGTTTCCTGTTCAACAGGTTAAAAATAGAAGAGCACCTGGCCCGACTAGAAACAGTGACCAAAGAGATAGAAACAACAGGAACCTACCATCTGACAAAGGATGAACTGATATTTGCTGCCAAACAGGCCTGGAGAAATGCTCCGAGGTGTATTGGGAGAATTCAGTGGTCCAATCTACAGGTAGCTTATGACTCTAAAAATTATGGTTGAATAGCTGTCTGCTGCACATTGGTAAAATGTGCCAATTGCTTCAACTGAGGACTGTCTTTCCTGTCCATATCATAAAATCAATATTTTCTTGTACTTCTCTGCTCCATAATAGAAGGAAAACTTATATAGGATTGGTTACAGTTAAGAACCAATCAAGTTATGGAAGCAGGTCCATCTCTTGGGCCTTGGAGGATTGTTACATGTGAAAATAAAAGAATGGTAAAAACAAACCTTTCCTAGAAGTGAATTGAGAAATACTGATATCCTATCCTTAACTGTGTTAGAAAAATAACATGCTTGGATTATTCTTTCAAAACTATTTTTTTTCTTTACCTTTTTGGGGAAAACATACAGGTATTTGATGCACGTGATTGTAAAACAGCCAAGGAAATGTTTGAATATATCTGTCGCCATATTCAGTATGCCACAAACAACGGAAATATAAGGTAGGTCTCTTTTATTTCATTTGAACTTTAAATAACAAGAATTCCATCTAGATCTGGATTCAGAACTCCATAATAGACTTGATGTGATCTAAATATTTTGACAACTTGTCTCTGCTCCTAATTCTTCTGATACTTATGTGCTCCTCTCACATGCACCATCAACCATTTCGAAAGTTTTTAACATTTGTGGATAATGTTGCAAAAAGCTTTCATAATTCCTGGGGAAGTAAATGATTTGAAGACTTGGGGAGATGGGAAAGAATGAATGATTTTATTCTTAATGATGTTTATTTTAGAAATATAAAATAATTGCTGCCAGTAACAATTTATATCTATCTATATATAATCAGGATGTGTTTGATGTGCTGCTGTGATGTCATTGATCATTTCTCTGAGCAGATCAGCCATCACCATCTTCCCTCAGAGGACTGATGGGAAACATGATTTCCGTGTTTGGAACAGCCAGCTCATCCGATATGCTGGATATCAAATGCCAGATGGGTCTGTCATAGGAGACCCTGCAAGCGTGGAGTTCACAAAGGTATACAGGATCATAACTGTTTTCCATCTTGATTAACTCACCTGTGTTTCATTTATTTTTCTTCTTTTTTTAATGCAGTCTGGGAGGGAGCTATTTATTTCCTGCCCCACAGATTCTAGGTGCAGGCTGAAGCAACAGTTTGTTACTATGCAGTGAAATACTCCCCTCCATCTCAGAACAGTGCTAAAACTCCTCTTAAATCTTGGTCTTGTTTGAGTGGGAAGACAACCTTTAGCACTGAGAATTTACCTCAGAGGGTTAACGGGGACTTCAAAAATGAAATTCACTTTCTTTATTTACAGTTGTGCATTGAGCTTGGGTGGAAGCCGAAATATGGCCGCTTTGATGTAGTTCCACTCATTCTCCAAGCAAACGGCCAAGATCCAGAAATATTTGAATACCCGCCAGAGATTATCCTTGAAGTGCCAATGGAGCATCCAAAGTAAGCATACCAGGTTTAGCTAATCGCATTTTTGCCTCTGCCTCACTGTGACTGGTACTTATCCTGTGCTTGTGGCAGTCATTTTCTGAGTTCTTTGTTAGGATGAAATTATAGTAAATTGTCTTGAAAGATAAAATGCCTGTTAGAACAGTAGAATGAGATTTAAATTAACAAAGTCTATGGTAGTTCTGTTGGATTTTTTTAATATTCTCCATTTCAATCAGATTCAGAATTAAAAAACAAAAAAAACATAGCTTCTTATGCCAGTGGAATACGCATGTAAAATATGGTTGCACTCGCCACAAAATGCTTATTGCTTTTTTTTCTTTGTTTCTTGCTTCATCTTTGCTTTGGAAGCGGGCTGCAGATTGCAGAACTCTGTCATACTGTTCCTCAATTTCCTTAGCAGGCCATTCCCAGTTACCATGTTGTATGCGAAAACTTTGCTACAAGCTTTTGCAGATTGCTTCATAGGTTTGTCTCCCTAGAGACAGTGATCTTTCACTTCCTGGGCTTTTCTGGTTGTTGACTAAGGGAGGAATACATAAAGTAACAAATCAAATGTTTATTTAACAGATATGAATGGTTTAAGGAGTTGGATCTGAAGTGGTACGCTCTGCCTGCTGTTGCCAACATGCTCCTTGAGGTGGGAGGCCTGGAATTTACTGCGTGTCCTTTCAACGGCTGGTACATGGGAACAGAGATTGGAGTGCGAGACTTCTGTGATGTACAGCGGTACAATATCCTGAAGGTAATCTCCCGAAATGAGGGATTTTGTGACTGAGAAGAGAATGGATTTGTTATTAGTTCCAGTCTGCTGCTGACAAGGCAATGGAGTCCTGGATGTTAGTTGCAGGTCTTGGGCTCCTTCCCTCTGCAAATTAATAATAATGACTTAGAACCAGATGCTGTCATTCTCTAATCATTTGGTCCAGCAGAGCTCCCCTTCCTTCTCCAAACCAGAATAGAGGCCTCATGATAACTCTAATACAAAGTATGTGTGGCTCTCACTTTCTCCAGCATAAGATTGACCTTTCTCAAATACTTTTATCTACATGTTAATGTGATGAGGTGGAGAAATCATGACATGTATATAGAGCATAGTAAATTTGCTTGTCCCTTTTCTCTCTCTTTTCCACTTGTAGGAGGTTGGAAGAAGAATGGGACTGGAAACCAACAAACTTGCATCATTGTGGAAGGACCGAGCTGTTGTAGAGATAAATGTGGCTGTGCTTCATAGCTTCCAGGTAAGTCAGTGAGTCTGGTATCTGGAAATGCTTTGAATACTGTGTTTTTTTCATTTCACCTACAACAGCTTTATACAAATATAGCGCTAGTGGGCCAACACTCAATGTATAGGAGGTTACCAATATAATTCCAATGTAGTTGTTATTTGTTTATGTCTGGGAAAGTAGGGGAATGTAAATGCCCTGCTGTTGCCCCTTGGATAGAGGGGAAAGGGAGAAAAAAAAAAAAATGAAAAGGAAGTTAAAGGCAAGATTGTTCATCTTATTAGCCCAGATGTCTAAGTGTCAAAATCTACATAAGGCCATGGAATTCATGTATTTCATTCACAATTACAGTCTTTTTAAGATAATCATGACATTATGGAAGATGGGTAAAAATGAAACATAGGCTTTTCAGCATGCATTCTCAATGCTGGAAAGGTAAAATGCTGATGTTAAATAAAAAAGGACTTAATAAAATTCTTAGTCAAAGGTCCACCTATATCTTCATTTTATAGTTATTAGTAGTAAATATTTCCCAACACTGTATAAATTTCTTGGAATACTAAGCAAGCAAAAGGATTACTTTAACTATGGAATGGACTTTTTAAATATATATTTCTCTTTTTGCAATTATTCTAGAAACAAAATGTTACTATCATGGATCATCACTCAGCTGCTGAGTCCTTCATGAAATACATGCAGAATGAGTATCGTGTGCGAGGAGGCTGCCCAGCTGACTGGGTGTGGATTGTACCTCCTATGTCAGGGAGCATAACTCCTGTGTTCCACCAGGAGATGTTGAACTATGTCCTCACTCCCTTCTTTTACTACCAGGTACATGTCAAAAAAATAAAGATTCTAGCAGACAACTACAGATGATAATGTGAGATACAGACAAGTTTGAATGAAAAGCCCCTATTATTCATACTGCTCTTAGTCTTGGTACATAAAAATCAAATTTTACTGGATAAATTCATAAAAGAGCAAGCAATTTCTCTTTTACTGTGCAAGATAATTTTAGTTCTGTTGAATTCCTAGGCTATAAATATAATGTAATTTAGTGCTGTAGAGACTGGTCAGTGTTTGTACAGGCAGCAAATCATAGATGTAGATACTGTCAAATCTGTCCCTTTCAACTGTACACAAATTGTGTATTTGTTGTTTTGCATTTCTTATCTGAAACGCAATTTTTTTTAATTGAAGGTGGATGCATGGAAAACACACATCTGGCATGATGAGACCCGTAGGCCAAAGAAAAGAGAAATAAAGTTGAGCATTTTGGCCAAGTAAGTTTTTCAAATAAACATCACGATTTTGTTGAAATATTCTATTTTTCTGGTGCTTCTCTTACACATTTTTTTGATAATTATTACAGTAGGGATGACCTGGTTTGTTTGAATTGTAGACTTGCATGTACACGCTTAAGTAATGCTCATATCTAATGTTCTTATTCAGGGCTTTCTATATTGTATTGCTTCTTAACAATCTTCCAAGGAATAGCCATGCTCAAAATGAGCCTTATCTTGGAAACTGCTTGTGCATCAGTCTGAATTTCTACATAGCTATATTCAAAATGATACATGATGTGCTTTTTTTTTTTTTCTCAGGGCTGTACTCTTTGCGTCATTGCTGCTGCGAAAAACAATGGCAGCCAGGTCCAAGGTGACTGTGATCTATGCAACAGAGACTGGGAAATCAGAAACATTAGCCAGCAATCTGTGCAGTTTGTTCAGCTGTGCCTTCAACACTAAGGTAAGGAAATATAGGTCACTTAAACTAAACGGAAGATGAAGTTTGCCTAGTTTTATCAGCTTCTGCGAGATTTTTCATTCTAAGCCTGTGTTTTGTATGTTTGCTAAATGTAAGTTAGACCTTAGATTTTGACTTCTTTCATATAGAATAATGCCTTGTAAATTTGGTCAACAGTCATCTGACAACAGAGAGATCTAATATGAGTTTTTATGTCTCCTAGCAGTTTCTGATCAGCTTTATATCTTCCAGATTCTGTGCATGGATGAGTACAACATCAGTGACTTGGAAAAAGAAACACTACTTTTAGTGGTTACCAGCACTTTTGGAAATGGAGATTCTCCAAATAATGGAAAGGTACTATTTGCCTCAGAAGCACATATGCAACTTAGTTCAGAGAATGCTGAGATGAGCATTTCGGAGTTCTGTCTGAACCAGTGATAGGACCTTAGGGAACAGCATGAAGCTGCTTCAGGGGAAGTTAAGACTGAGAAATAGGAGAGGTTTTTTTTTTACCAAGAGTATAACTGGGCACTGGATCAGGCTACTTAGGGAAGTGGCCATGGCACCAAGATGCTGCAGTTCAAGATGTATTTAGGCAACACTCTCAGATGATGTATGGTTTAATTTTTAAGTAATCTTTTGTGGAGCCAGGAATTGGATTTGATTATTCTTTTGGGTCCCTTTCATCTCAGGGTATTCTGTGTTTCAAAGTCAGTCTTTCATTTCTCATGTATGTAATTAAGGCATAGATCAGAGTATCACTTCTGTTTTAAATGAAAGAGTATTTTTCTAACATTAAATGTTTTATGAATTTTTATACAGACATTAAAGAACTCCTTGCTCACCATGAAATTGCTGAGAAGAAAAATTAGGTAAAAATAATTTGTTATTTTGTTTACTTAAGATGAATCCTTTTGTATATCATTCACCATAACATAGTGGTCTTATTTGTATCTCCTGCAGATATGCTGTGTTTGGCTTGGGGTCCACCATGTATCCTGAGTTCTGTGCCTTTGCTCATGCCATTGACCAAAAACTGTCCCAACTGGGGGCTTTGCAGCTCACTCCAGTGGGTGAAGGAGATGAACTCAATGGTCAAGAAGAAGCCTTTCGCACGTGGGCGGTCACTGCATTCAAGGTGACTACATAAATATCTAGCTTATGTATTAGTTAATTCATTCATTTCAATTATTTTGGTCTTTACTGGCATCCCAGAAAAATAGAGAATAATGAAAGAAAGCAGAGATGGATTGTTATCTGAATTTTGAACTTCTCTTTCATCTGCTGCTTATCTAAATTGAAGGGGAAATGAGATCCCTTTTCTGTAATTTGTTAGTATTCACATAAAGTACCACAAAAACTTTTGGATAATGAGATGCCCAGTGTAAGTAAGGACAGTAGCATTAGGCCTCTTAATTTTGCTAAGTAGATCTTCTTTTTTTTAGCTAGATTGATGTAGAAGTGGAAACTTGCTGAAATCCTATAGCATTTCTGAATTCAACAAATTCGATGAATAACAACAGTCAGTGAAACTGAAATCTCCCCATAAAGATAGCACCAGCAAATGAACAACAAACATATGACAACACTAAGAATATCTATTTTCCATGAATAGTCATAATTACTACTTTTTTCTAGACTGCCTGTGACATTTTTGATATCCGTGGGAAAAACAGTATTCAGTTACCTGAGTTATACACATCAGATGACAACTGGAATCCTAAGAAACATAGGATAGTACATGACTCTCAAACCATGGACTTGACTAAAGGTATTTGTTCTGACTTTCTGCTTCCTCTATCAATTTTACTTCATTTACTTTACGTCTGAATTGGAAAGGTTGTCTGATGGTGGTCATACTACAGCTGGATGGTAAAATTCCTGTAATGAAATAGTGGTCAAAGAAAAAAAGATATCATTTTACACTGAAGAAGTCATTACATCTTCCAGCACAAAAACATCAGAATACCAGAGCTGATATACATTTCGACAATCCCAAAAGAATTAGAGTTGAGATGCTTTTAGTCAGAGAAGCTGTGCATAGAGGACATACAGCTGACGAGAAGTATATGGTGTTTTAGAGCAGGCGTGGTTCAGTTCTTTTCTCTGTATTCTTGGAAGATCTATTAAACAAAACTAATGACAGACTTTTTTCATTAGTCATGTCCTCTTTTCTCAACAGCACTGGCAGACATTCATGCAAAGGATATAATTCCCATGAAGCTGAAATTCAGACAGAATCTTCAGAGTTTCAAATCCAGGTACGATTCCTCATTTCTTTGAATATTGCAGTACATTTTATTAAAATCTTAAATAATTAAAATGTTTAGTTATAAACATCTCTTCCCTATGTTACTGAGAAATATATTCAAATTTTGTACCATCCTTAGTAGAAGTAAATCATGATCACCAGACCACAACAATAGTTAGGGACTTCGCTTCTGTATAGATAGTAGCTGATTTCCCAGTGGAGTCTCTGGCAGCAGAGGGAACTAGATAACTTGATGAATATGGCCCTCTGATATCTACTAAATGTGGAAGGTCAAGTGTAAGGTCCCTCTCCTTTGCTTGATCTGCTACATGCCAGACAAATATTTACGTCATTTAGGAAAAACAAAATTGCCCCTTAATAGAGGGGAAAAAAAGTTAAGGGTGGAAAGAGATACAGTACAAGAAGCTGTACTACAAAGCAAGCTGAGACAAGACAACATAAAAATACAAAAAGATAATAAGTGCACTGGCATCTGTCTTAGAAATAGCATCCATGAATACCTCTTCAGCATCCTCCAGGAAGTCTCTTTCATCCCTGTTCTAAAAGCAGTCGTCTTACAGGATGTACTCTGAGCTGCTGTAAAGTGTGAGCTATTCAGTCTTCAGTAGAGCTGCACTTACTGCCATTGGCTGACTGCAGGCATACTGGACAGATCAGGCAGCACTTCAGCATCTTATTTGTTTTTGTAGAAGTCCTTCACATGTCTATACTGTTTTTGTTTAAGTCTCCATGAATTACTAAGCTGATCTGATAATTTGATAATGAACAGTAAGCCCTTGCCAACTGTCACTTCACATTTAGGTCTTTTCTATGTAATTTAAGGGAATTCCTGTCAACATAATCATGATCTAACTGATGTCTTTTTTTCCATATCTAGTCGTGTTACCATTCTAGTTAAGCTTTCCTGTGAATCTAATCAGGAAGTGCACTACCTGCCTGGAGAACATATTGGGATTTTCCCAGGCAACCAGCCAGAATTAGTCCACAGCCTCATTGCACGTGTTAAGGATGCCCCTGCAGCTGATCAGACTATCAGACTTGAAACCTGTACTGAGGGTAAGTTGGTTCCCTTCACATTTGATAACAGAGGATATTTGATGGGTTTTCCTAAAATTCATGAGAATTTTTATAGGCTGAATTTGATTATATTATCCTCCTTTTAAGTTTCACTAGGATTTTGCTGATGCACTTAGGTATTCCTCTAATTCTAGATTCTGTTTTTATGTACTAAGGCAGTTCTTGGTAACTTCACAAGTGTTATCCAATATTTTGGGCTGACACTATTTGTGATTCAGTTCCTAAATTGGCTATTGACTGCAATGAAATTAGTATAGAGTTTCCTTATCATTGTTACATATCAATGTCTTAAAATGGATTTACATGTCATGACCATTTTATTTACATCTTAGTAGCTGCAGTCTGTGAAATCATGGGACTCTTAACACACAGAAAGATGATTTCCATCATTCTTTTTGCTTAAAACATAATGCTTTATTACAGTGTGGTTCTCTGCATCAGATTCTCTACTCACAAAAAGCTTGAAAGCTCACATTAACCTGTGATCCAGATCTGTATGCAACCTAATCAGAATCCATATTTTAAGACACTGAGTTTTGCAAAACACTACAGTTGTTAAATGCCTTGGGAATTGCCACATGATCTTCTGCTTCCCTTGTTTCCAGGTGGCTATTGGGCAAGTGAGAAAAAGATTCCAGCTTGCACGCTCTCCCAGGCTTTGACATATTTACTTGATATCACTACTCCACCCTCCCAACAACTTCTAAAAAAACTCTCCCAGCTGGTAACAGCGGAAGGAGACAAACAGAGACTGGAAGTTTTATGTCATGTAAGTATTAGGCCGAAATTATGCAAACGTGCTACACAATGGGTCATTTGGTGCCCTTCTAAAGCAGAAACTTTAGAAATGTTTGTAGTGATGGTGTTTGATTTCCATTCCTCTGTTACATATTCTGTGAACGTGTTAAACTAACCACAGTGAGAGAAAGAGAGGGTGATCTTATGGCTTAACTTATGCGTGGGAATCAAGAGTTTTCTTCAGATCTGGTATTTCCTGTGTGGTTGTGGGTGGGTCATTTTGCCTGCCTGTTTCTCTTGCCTGCCCTGTGGTGGTTTCTGATGAGGTACCATTAAAAAATCTCAGAGTTTGCAGACGAGCTGCTAGGTATTATTGTCATGGAATTTGATACCAATAAAGTAGAAGCAATGTCACTTCAAGTAACCAAAGACTCATAGGTGTGGTAACTGTTTTGTTCTGCTGGGATCAGCAAGCGCTCAGTAAGTGCTCAACCGGACCTGAGCCTACACAGTTTTCTAGATATCCCATAGCCAGGGGGCTGAAAAACAGCTTCTACTTCAGTTTCTGTATCCACTCTGAGAGAACGTATATGTCAGAAAAATTATAGTGGATATTTCTCTTTCCAAAAATCAAACAACTCTTTCAGGAAACCCTAATATTAGTCTAGGGATGGTTTTGAGAACTCTCTGCTAATTTGCAGTTTATTGCATTGAATATAAAGTAGGAATCTTATTTTAAAAATTACTTTTCAAACATCCTTGCTCTCCTGAACTCATCATGGTCTGGTAATATTGTAATGGTGGCTTTTGGCATTTAGAGCACAGAAGAATACAATAAATGGAAATTTTACAACAGCCCAAACATCCTGGAGGTCCTGGAAGAGTTTCCTTCTGCTGAAGTTTCAACAACTTTCTTACTGACTCAGCTGCCACTTCTGAAACCCAGATACTACTCTGTCAGTTCCTCCTGTGACATGACACCCAGAGAGATTCATCTGACGGTTGCTGTGGTAAACTACAGAACAAGAGGTAATGAATTGTGTTTTTTAAATTTCTGTCTCAATTAAATGATATTTAGTCTGTGTTGTGGTTCAGAAAAATCTGTGTATGCTATATGATATGAAACATATCTGTAACAGAAAGTTTGTGTTGTGATACATGCAGAAAAGTACATAGCAGTACAGATAATCAGACTGTATCAGGATTTGTTAAAATAGTGCATCATTGGTATATCCTTGTTTTATAAATGATTACTAGATCATTTACATTCTTGTTTATAAGCATAGTGTTAAGTACAAACTATGTTTTTTAAAAAACAAACAGCTTTTGAATGCTTACAAATAATTTTCCTTTCCTCTGATTAGATGGACAAGGGCCATTGCACCATGGAGTCTGCAGCACGTGGCTGAACAAAATAGCTCTCAATGAAACAGTCCCTTGCTTTGTGCGCAGGTGAGCGTATGCCATAGGAAGAAGCCAAGGAAAATCATGGAATAAGAATCCAAGGCAAATACTTGCTGTATAATTCAGTGAAGCTTCTTTCCCTAGATGTCTCCTGAAGTTAATTCCCCTGAAATTTTCAGGAAACTAATGGAAATTTTATTGGATTCTAATGAAGGAAATTGTTCAATGCTTTTAGAAGTCCATTCAGACATGTTTTCTTAGTTTTTCCCAAGTGTTAACTCCATACGTACTGTGGTACAGATGGGTTGGAGAAAAGGAGGGAGCAAAGGGTAGAGGTGATCACGTACTGTTTTCTAACATGTATTTCAGCTGTATCTTGTGACCTCAGGTAAGGGCTAAAGCCAATTGTTGTTTTTACAAAATCACTGATGGTTACTCTCCTAAATCACTGGGCACTTATCAATGTTTATTTTGTAAAAAACTAGAGAATTTGATTTTTCAGTCCTTCAAGATACATTTATCCTCTCATACAAAGCATAATAAGAGAAGATTCAAGGCAGTAGAGATGATCACTATGTATCATTCTGTCAGCTTTCTAGGAATACTTTTATTCTGAGTTTTACTTTACCTAATTAACATATTTTTCCATGTTAGTGCTGATGGATTCCAGCTCCCAAAGGAGCCAGCCAAGCCATGCATTCTTATTGGCCCAGGAACAGGAATTGCTCCATTCAGAAGTTTCTGGCAGCAGCGTCTCTATGACTTGGAAAAGAAAGGTACTTACAGGGACTGCCACTTGGGGGAGGCCAAAACTCATCCAGCCAGAAGACATCCATAGTCCTCCTAAGAAAATCTCTTCAGGTGAAGGTTTTGTTTGGAGAACTACAAAACTGGTGGAGACACTTCTAAACTTTAGCTAAGTAACTACCTATGTAGAGATTTGTCATCAAAAGACTGAATCAAACATTAAACATTAGCCAATAATTCCATCCCACATAAGACCATTCTGGTGGTCTTGAGGTATTTGGTCATACAGAGGGAGTAGCCTATGTGTATAAGTACTACATGTTCTGCATCTGCTCAGCTCTCACAAAGGGGCCACAATGCAGAGAGGAAATGCTGTGCCTGTCTCTATCATCCTGCTTCGGAAATGTGCTTCAATAGGTAATTCCACATAGTACTTTGAAGTATCAGGCATATTCAGTCCTAATGTAGACTTAAAATTAGGAGCTGTCACTCACGCACACATACTCCTCAGAGTTTTAGCAAGAAAGACTAATTAGAAACAGTGGTTACATTGCCCAACTAAGTTGATATGACAGGGCTCCCCCTGGGGGCAGTGGTATGAGATAATAGGCCTTACTAGGAAAGCCAAAATAACTGTCTGATATTGGTTTCAGGGATCAAAGCTGGTGACATGATATTACTGTTTGGCTGCCGGCAGCCAGATATGGATCATATCTACAAAGAAGAAGTTGAAGAAATGAAGAGGAAAGGAGTTCTGAAAGAAGTTTTTACAGCTTATTCCAGGCAACCTGGTCAACCTAAAGTAAGGCTGGTTCTTTTGTTCTTTAAGAGCTGGCCCCTTTAGGAAGAGTCCCTCAAGTTAATGTTTGGGCTCTGTTTAACAATTTTATTGAAAAACAAACCAAAACAAAACTGTTAGCATCAGTGCATTGTGAACAAGTGACAAAAGGCCCCATTCCTCCAAAGCAAAGGAGACTCTCACTGTTCACTTCTGAATGAGCAGCATATATGGACATATGTATTTTAAATCCTCACTGCCTTATTGATAGGTGTAGTAGACATACAATTAAATCTTTGAGTGCAAAACGTCCTTTGAAATTAGAAGCTGGAACACTTTTGGAAACTTTACATTTTGTAGGATATGATTAGCCTGTGAGTTGGAAATGAGTTTGCTCTCATCATTTGTCACCATTTCAGTACCCTTTTTAGTTGTCTTGCCTTTCTAGAAAGTCAGGAATCTTTGGCAGTGGTAATTTGTTCCAAATAAAAGTCTCTTAATGTATTCTGGTTTAATCAAAAACCAGTCCAGCCTTCCAATGTGGGGACTGTAAAGAGAGCATTTAAGACATTTTTCCTCTCCTTTGCTGTCATGCAACATATGGAATAGTTAGGATGTATTGAACCTTCGTGTGTAGGCCCACACTGAATTTAGAGAAGCCAATAGACAAAGTAGCATTTAAGAGAGCTTTTCTAATGATATTTTTTTCTGATTCTAAGGTTTATGTTCAAGATATTCTTCAAAATGAGTTGGAAACCAAAGTGTGTAATATCTTGCATAAAGAGGAAGGGCATCTGTATGTCTGTGGAGATATACGCATGGCCAGAGATGTTGCTCAGACTTTGAAGAGGATCCTTGTAAAAAACCTGGACCACACAGAGAAGCAGGCAGAAGAGTATGTCTTCCAGCTAAAGGTATTCTGTGATGTAGAAGGCTTTTCCATTCAGACAGTGCTCCAACATAGGTTTCAGAGTCACACTCCAGATCTTACTGCAATTAGTTTCTTTTCAGCAGCATGCTGAAGAAAAATGCTTAACTCATCAGCTTAGTCTACTCACCATGGTCTAAAATGCATGGTTGCTGTTTGGTTAGGTTGTATGAATGTCATGTCATGCTCCTCTCTTACATACTACTGTTCTGCCCAGTGTCCCTCTTTTGATTCTGGGCATTAGCTCTGCGATGTCTCTGAGCATCAAAAGTTTGATACTTTTTTGTACCAAAATAGGAATGTGAGTTTCAGAAAGTAATGGGGCACTCCCTGAAAGCACAGTGTCTGAGTATGGGTGGCTTTATAGGATTGTTCTGTTAGAAGAACTTGTCTGGAGCTTGTGTGTCTGCAATTTGGTTCCTTTATTGGCAGCAAGAAAGTCCACCATCACAGAATTAGTCATGTGAATGCTACTTAAATGTCACAGAAAGATTCATCTCTTGGGTTTTTGTTGTTTGTTTTCTTCTTCAGAGCCAAAAACGATACCATGAAGATATATTTGGGGCTGTGTTCCCACATGAAGTCAAAAGAACATAAGAGATTTGCAACTCGTCAGTCCAGACATGAACCAACAGATACTGTACGTGATATTTGCACATTTGTTGTTGTTTTCAAAAATCAAGGGATCAAATCCTCTTCTTTATTTGTGTTAAATGCTGCACATCTCATGGTAGGATTGGACTTCTAAGCTTTAGCCTTAAGTAAGAAAAATATGAAATTTTACTTTTGTTGTTCTCAGACTTCTTTTAATAGAGTAATTTAATATTGAAGATGCCAATTATTTTTTTAATTCTATCTAGGTTAGTATAGGTTTGTCATCTTTTGCAAATGCAAAACATATAAAACTTAGTCACCAGGAAAATTTAGAGGTTTTTTTTTGCTATTAGTGACATTTTTTAGTTTTTTACTATTGCTGGAAGTGATTTATTGTTGTTTGTTTTGTGTTGGTTTTTTTTAATGCACTATTTATCTGTTTGAATTTATTTATATTTTGTTTTATTGTGCATATTATCTTCAAACTTGTGGCACTAGGAAATGTCCAGTGATTTGTTGTATCTGAAGGAACTCTTGCAAATGTGATAAAATACAATGGCCTATGACTGGAAATATCTGCTGCACACACTTCAAATGTATACATGTGAGGAGGTAGCAGTTCTGATTTCTGCTCTATGGTACACCAAAATTCAGGTCCACCAGCCTGAATTTTTGTTGTTTCAGAAAATTCAAAAGCACTTTGTACATCTGATTTCTATGCTCTTGACTTGATTTGTTTGTAATAAAAGATACCTTTATTACTAAGACAGATTGGTGTAGTTTAAATGTACTTCTGTGTCCTACTATCTTCAGCCTAAAAAACTACAAGTGGGTAGGTAGATGTAGGGGAAGTGCTAGAACACAGCCTGAGCTGATGATTGAGGACCTGGTGAAGGGGTGGCTGGCCCAGGAAGCACAGGTGCAAGCAATTTTCTGAGCTTTCCATCTGACCAGAAAGGGTCCACCTCCTCCTGGGTTCATTTAGGGCAAGCCTTTGATGAGAGAATATTTCCTGGGTGAAGGCTGCTTCTTGAGGTGTGTTTTATAGCCAGAAGACCCTCTTAATCAGTTGAGTGAGTCAACTTCTTTCTGTGTGTGATTATTGGTATTCCTAATGATGCTTTGCTTGGTATCACAAAGAACTAATCAGAAGCAGTTTCTCTGATGTGAGGGCTGATGTGAGGTGCTCTCCAACCTGCGCTCCCTCCTTAAGCAAAGAGTCCATCTCTGTGAGTTACATAGCCTGCCTAAGATGAGTTATGCAATCTTGTTACTGCTGGAGAGGTGTGAATCTTGCCTTGTGGATTGTGAACTAAAGAATGCAAAATAGCAATTGGAGTAATGTATATTGCCCTAGTTATGTTTTGAGTTTGGTTCCTGTCCCTGGCAGTTCTGTTACAACTTCTTTTTCTAAAATCAGCAGGAATTTATGATGACATTAAAAAGCTAAAGGTAAGATTGTTTTTTGTCATCCTTTGTCTCCAGGAGCTGGAATCCAGTGAAGGATTTGACGCTCAGAAGTCAACAGTGTCATGTATATGCAGTGTGCTTCACGTGTACTTCAGGACAGCTTTAAACATAAGATGAGAAATGAAGCGTAGTTGAAAGGCTGTGGGCAGTGATGGTGGAGAACAGAAAGTGTTGGACAGCAGATACACAGACAGGACAGAGGAGGTTCATAGCAAGTATGTGAATGTTATTTCGTACTTCAACAAATTCTTTGCTTCTGAAGTTTTGAGGCAGGATGGGTGTAGAATGAGGTAACTTCTATCTCCATCTGGAAAGTTCTCAGTAAGCCCAGGACTTGCTGAGTTCTGGACTTCAAGTAAGTCCAACATAGGCAACAGAAGTAAGTTCTATATTTTGAAGTGCAAGTGTGCCTTGCACTTTCAGGAGGTGTATTACAGAGCAGTGCATTTGCCATGTGTTTAACAAAATAGATATATTTTCTTGCCAGGAGTGCTGGTGAAGTGGTCCCCTCTGGCTTTAGGGTTTAAAATGCAATTGAGTGTTACATCACAGCTGCCTGGAGCTCTGAATGGTCTCTGTGCTTGAGTTTGTCTTCACTGAGATGGGAATACTTGTTGACTGAGGACAGGAGGAGGAAGGGAAGCTTCTGTTGCTTTTCAGAGAAAAGCAATTCTTGGACTATTCACTGATGAAAGACAAATGCTTTAAAAATAAAAAGAATTCCAAAATCTTAACTAAGATATAAACAAATGTAATTGTAACAAAAATGCACAAGTCATATACTGTGTTGCACAAATCCCACGTTAGGATGTGCTCTGAGGCTTTCAGCAGGAGGCAAGTGATGATGCAAATGCCTCTGGGCTGGGTTAGATGCTCTTCTTTGGGAAAACACATTGCCTCAGGTTGGTGGGAGCTGTGCTGCACTGCTGGGATGTAATACAGCCAGTCAACAGTGAGCTTCCCTTTGCAGCTGGTGGGATGTAACCTTCGTGCTTGAGGTTTAGGGTTTGGTTTTTGTTTTTGTATTTAAATACATGACCTTGTCCTTCAAGTTTAATTGATAATTACATTCATTATTTCTTTTTCTTTCTAAAAAGCAAGAAAGCTCAACTTATCTGAAGGCTTTTACTGTTTGTGTATGAAAGATCTAGATAAGATGGATGAAATGTAAAGCTGTGCTTTAAAGTGCACTGTCCTTTTCTCTGCAGGGCAGTACAAGGCTGTTGTTATTTTTGGAGTAAAGCTGTTTGGCAGCAGCACAGTGACCCTGGGGTTAACAGATTAATTAACGCACTGCTGTGTAGTGTTGGCTGGAGCTGGGGCACACACAGGGGAAGGACAGTGGGCTCTGGGGCAGGAGGCAGCTCCCTCTTCTGTGGCAGTGTGTGGCTGCAGGTGGGCAGCCTTCTTGCAGCTGTTGGTGTCTGATCAGCGCAGGTTGAGTCCTGTGGTGATGTGGGTGTGAGTGTTCCTGCTGCTTCCTGGCAGCACAGGGGGATGAATTCCTCCAAAATCAAACTGTGTGGGGTGCCTTTGTGGTGAGCTGGGAGCTAAGGAGGAGAAGAGCTTTCAGCAAGATAACGTTAAGATCCCTTTTTTCTGAAGCTCGTTGTGTGGTAACTGATTGACCAGATCCACCAAGAGCTCTGCTCAGAGCTCAGGCCCTGCTGTGCCCGCTTGGCTTTGCAGAGCAGCTCTGAAGTGCTGAACTGGCCCAGCCTTGCTCCCAGCATAGTCTAATGCTCTGAGAAATGTCAGTGCTAGTGTTCCTCAAGCCAGGTAACTTGGCTCATCGTAGCAGGTGGGAAAGCTTTCTGGTGCGTGCTGAGCAGCTGCAGTGATGTTGGGGCTGTGAGGAGGTGATGGGACCTGGAATTGTGCTGTGGGACAGGTAGTTGCTGAGAGAGGGTACTGGGTTCTCACTGCCATCGTGGTGCTTTTTGATGCCATTTGTGGTGAGAATCCCAATGGTTATAGCAAAAAGGAACTTGAACAGCATCTCAGTTCCATCTATTAAACAAGTTGAAGAAAGTTTGCCAGCTGTCCTGCAGCTGTAGGGCTTTTGCATTTGACTTGTAAGAGGAAACAAAATGATCCTTGTCTGCAGGAAAGGTGCATGGTTAGAATATCAGCAGGGCAGATGTCAGTGATAGCTCAAAGCAAACCTGCCACAACTTGAGTCAGTGTAGGGAAAGGGGCTGATGGGCGTGACATAGTGCTTGTTTATGAGTTCTTGCTATCACAAACAAGGCTCCAAAACCAATTTTTATTCCTCCCAGGCTGGGCTTTGCGGGACTACAATAACTGAGGAAAAAAAGATGAGAAAAAAAGAATGAGCTGCTTGTGCTTTAGTTTGGCTACAAGTGGGGGGGGGGAAGGAAGAGAAAGTCAAACCACAGTTCTGTACCACTTGCTTTATCCAGAGCAAAGATTTATTTGCTGAAAAGATTTCTATGTATCCAGGATTTCATTAGCATAATGTGCACTTTCTTTTTCCTTGCTGGCTGCATAAACTAATACAGCAACAGTTGTTAATACTAACAATTTTTAATTTAATAGCAATTCTGGAAGACACTCTGATAGAAAATATTTTTAAAAAAATTTTACTGTACAAAGTTTACAACACATTTGAAAAGAAAAACGTGTCAATTTTCACCATATTACAGACTCCATTTACATTCACTATTGATGTGTGGCTATTGTAGCAGCATTGTACAGCCAGCTTCACATTTACACCTCTACAACAGGACAGGCTTACTGTGCTTCACGCCTCACACCAGCACACCAGGAGACACATGGCCATAAAGCAGTGTGACTCAATGCCTGCTGCTCAGCTGTGGCAGAGAGATGGGAGAGCCGACTTCATTCACAGCTGGTACAGCTCCACAGGTTCTGTTTGACTTCCATGTGCCTTACACAGCTGACTGCAACACATTACCCCAGATAGTAATTGGCCCTGCTCTCTAGTATGCTGGGTTTTGCTTTTAAGAGCCATTTATGGGAGTTAAACACAAAACCAATGAAGACTGAATCTCAAACTTAATGATTTAAAGGCAAGTTTTGAAACCCTTCCTGCAGCGGGATGGCACTCCATCAGCCTGCAGTGCTCATGGGTCAGCCCCAGCTGCTTTCAGCACATTGCTAAGTGCAGCACAAAGGGACAGGCAGCCCTGCTGACACAGGTGAAGCTGCCTTGCTGGGAAGCAGGGTCAGCACAGCATTTGCCTGGAAACAGCCAGGGTTTGAACCTCATATGAGGGCAGTCACATAGGGAGAACAACATTTTTTGTTTTTTAATTTTATTTTGTAAGCTGGATAGTCTGTCTGTCCAACCAGCCATCCCGTAGGAAAAGATTCAGAAGGTTGTGCTTTCTCAGCATTGTTCTTGAACGCTGCCACAGCAGCATTACTGCTGATAGCCAGGTGAGCGATCGCTCTTTCTTTCCTACGCTGAAAGCTCTGGGTTTCCCAAATGAGACAGGAATAACAGTGAGAGAGCATGCTGTGGTTTAGCAGAGGGGCTGCTCAGACCCAATGGCTGTGGAGCAATGTGTGCATCCAGCAGCAACTTCTGCTCTCCCTAAGGCAAGGTACACTGCTGCCCGTGGGTTCATAACTTAACGTTGCTATGAAGCACATTTCTCCTGGCTTCGTACTGCACTGTCAATACTTACGTGCTACTCGTTGGAAAACAACCTCTGTTTAAACCTGTGACAATGTTATTGTGAGAGAGCAAACAGTAGCAGGGCTTGAAGAGACAGCAGGTGGTGGCTAAAAGGGCAGTGTGTGCTGAGGGGCCTAATTGCTTTCCTGAGGTGGTAAGAGGGAGTCAAGAGAACCATGTCTCCATGCTTGGCTACCACCAAACCAATTTTGTTTTATATTTGAGGCACATTTAAAATCACCATAGCACAGTGAAGGAGTAGCAGGAGTGAAGTCCTCTGCTCAACAGAACTTTTTTTTTTTCCTCCACTTGATTTTCTCCAAGTCAGCTGCCTGTAACCAAACTGAGTGCCTGTCACTCCATGTGCCTTGTGGAGGACTTCAGAGCTCTTCCCTCTGTGATCTACATTAAAGCCTTGTAATGGTGGCAAAAGATAGAAAAGAGGCGTGTAATGTACTAGTGTGACTGGAGAAACGAAATCTGGTGACTTTCAGGGAGTCCTAATGAACTACCTTAAAAATGAAGCAGTGTAAGGACAGAAGGGCTCTTTAATGTCCACTGCATAATTAGAGTTGTCCTGCTGCCCTGGCTGACAGGCAGAGGAATAAGAATGGGAGGTATGATGGAACATTTAATGCAGCTTGCAATTCACTTGCAAGTGAGATAATGCATCTGTTACCTTAAATGCAGTAATCAGTTGTCCTTCATCAGTCTGCGTATTACACATTGTAGCATGTGCTTTCCTTTTGATTTTTTGGGAGCTGGGTTTTTTCTTGGTCTTAAACTTAACCTTTGAAATCAGGTTCTCTGGAACAAAATGTAACTTTCCTAGCTGCAATGTTGTTGTTGTTGTTAGTTTTCTGCAGAACTGCTTAGTCCTAAATTTCTTCGATTCTTGCAGACTTATCTGACTGTCCAGAGGAGCGTGTGTGTGCACAGGGGAGAGAAACGACTTTGAGTCTCTCAACAAGCTCTGTGTATCGGAACAGTATGTTACACATTGTTTAGGGATGGCTTTTTCCCTTGACTTTCTTCCCACCCTGGAGCTCTATCTAGTAAAATATGTTCTTCTACAAATGAGATTGCCATCAGGGCAGCAAGGGGTGATGTTTGGCAGTGCTGCTGGTTTGGGGGACCAAACAGGTTGTGTCTGAAGCTGCCCAGGAGCTCACCTTCTCCAGGGACAGCCTGCTGGTGGCTGAAAGTGGATGGACCCAGAGGTCTGTTGCCACCTCAATCAACCCGACATTCTGTGGCAAGGCAATTCAGCTTTTCTTGTGAGTTCTGTGTTGGAAGTGCTCAGTTCTGTGTTTCAAATGAGATAACAGTATGTTTGACAGCAAACTCTTCTGCAAGAAGCAGATTTTTACTGCTTTAACTTAATTCAAGGTAACCCAGAGCTTGGACCAACCCTGCAGAAACAAATCGGAGTGATCACAAACTGAATTATCAGTTTGGATAAATGACAACGCAATAGATAAATTTTACCTTAATGAGAGAAAAACAATTTAAAATTCCCATCTCCTTGTATGAGATACATAACCATTCTGAAACAAAGCGGTTCCACTTGTCTTAGGGAAAAATGGACTGAAGGCAGAAGATCATTCCTAGTTACACCACAGACACAAAAAGGAACTAGAAAAAGGTCGTTTTCCCTTTGTGCTAGTGGAATGGCTGTAGTTAAATTGATTCACTGTTTATTGTGTTTAAAAAAATATATAGTTCACACAAAAGCATCATGTAAACATTCTTTAAATAACTGCTGGTGCTCAGACAGAATTCATACTTTGCCAACAACAAAGGACTGTTAATTGATGGTCGTGTGGTTTTCAGCTGTGGCTGCACCAGTTTCATAGCTTGGAAGATTCAGTGAAGATTTCTTTGTGTATAAGTAGGTAGACATTATCACAAGACAACCACACACCATGCTATATCTTTTGATTACTTGGTTCCAGGATTCCCAAGCCAAATCTCTCAAAACGCAGGACAACTTTGCTACTGTTAATGCTGAAAAGAGTGGAGAAGGAAAGGAGAGGGAGGGGAAAATAATTATTTATTGTTGTTTTTTTGTTGTTTTTTTCTTCCCTACAAAGCTACAGTCATATAAAAGAAAATGGGTTGGGTTCTGCTCTCATGAAGTGTGAGATCACCCAGCAGTGTTTAAAAATTAAGCAGCAAACATTTGAATTTATTCATGCTAACCTCATTAGTGAAAGCATATGGCTCAAACTGGCAAAACAGGAGGCTTTTATAAGTACCTAAGGTGGGTAGAAGGTGACGTACACTTGAAATAGAAATGGAGAAAAGAATTACTTATTTAAGGGGAAGGGCATCCTGACAAGGTGCATCAGTTGCTTCAAAAAACACATCTGCTCCTCCTTATAGTCTAGAGCAAGTGAATAAATATATGTTTTCCTTCACCCTTAATCTGTTAGCATAGCTAGAAATGTTTTCACTTCAAAATGCCTTCCTCCATGTACATGCTAGGTGGCAGCAAGGCAGAGAGCATGAATACATGAGGGCTTCCAGCAGACCCTTTCCAGTGCAGTGTGCAGGCATCTGACTTAGAGAGAATGACATGTAGGTGTATTTGACCTCTCTGAACACAGTAAAAACCTCCCTGGTTCCTGATGCATATCCGCCTCTATCCTCGTCCTCTCCCCCGTGAAACAAATTTTTTTCAGAAAAGGAATGAAAAGAGACCTTTTACAAAAAGGCACACGTTTGCAGTGCTGCCTACAGTTCTGCAAAGTTCCTACTGTAAAGTCAGGCATTTTGCTGAACCAGAGATGTAAACAAAAGCAAATCACGGAACTCAAAACACTGGATTTGCAAGGGAAGGAGAATGAGAAACTGGAGGGCTTCCCTACTTTCCTCCTTTTCTGCACAGTGCTGTAGCTGATCTCAGTTTTGGATGCAGCTGGTGGTGATGCATTCCCAAGTAGGCTAAGGGACTGCAATCTGCCCTGAGCACAGCAAGGACTATCCTCCTTTCTGTGCAGAAACTGCACCTGCTGTGTGCACCCCTGACAAAGCTGAGCCTTGGTTCAGTGCAGGGCTGGGTCCGGCTCCACAGCAGAACCAACCCGCTCTGGCCCTTAAGTCACGTTGGTTTGCAATGCAAGTGAAGTGTTTGGTTGTTGGCTGTGCCTGTGGAAAATGTACCTGTTACCTTGAGTCAAAAGCCACAGCCCAGCACTAAGGATGACAGCCACCACCTCAGACAGCAGCTAGGAAACTTCCCCCTTCTGCCTCCTGAGGCTTGCAGGCCACAAATGCCAGTGTCAGCCAGCCCCCAACCTGTTGCTGCCCACAGCCAGCTGGTCAGGGCAGAGCACCAGCTGCCAGCCAGGAGGAAACTGCAGCCTGCTGCCATGACTCAGAAGTGAAAGGTGCCACGTTGTTAGACAGTAACTTCTTGCAGGCAGGAGTTGTTATTCAAGCTAACAGCCCACGCCAAGCAGAAAAAGGCAGAAAAGGAGAATTCAGATAAAATGCTGATTATGTCCGTGGGTTAATTTCGTGGTTTCTTTCTTTTTTTTTTTTTTTTTTTGAATGGAAGGTGATTGTCCAAGTTGCTGGTTAGGATACAACACAGGGAAGCATGCAAGGTGGAACCCATTATTGCACCAGTAGTTATAACCTACAAAGAAATATGGGAGGGAGGGGAAAAAGACACCGTGAGAGTTAGTTTTCAGTTATTTTAAAGCAAGCTCTTGAAAACTACCTATTATAAAGCTTACAGCAGAGTCAGGCAGGGGGTTAGCGCAGTGTTCATCTAAGGAGTTGTCAGAGGGGATGTGACTTCAATAGGTTTTGCATCTGATCGCTGGTTGACACTGATATAGAGTGGTTTTTAAGTGTGACCTGAATATAATGTAGTTTGCAGGAGACAAAAAGTAACTGACCTGCCTGCACTTTCACTTCAGTGAGCACTAATTCAGCTGTCAATGTTGATAATTAATAGCGACACTTAAAGTACATCTCCTCTATTACATGCTTTGAGCAGAGAAAAAGCATTAATGAATGCAAATTTACATGAACCACTTGCAGTAGGAGTAGAGGATCTGTCTACATAGGGAAAAAATAATTTGGGTCGCTGCTACATAAGGCACAGTTCCACAAGCTGTTCAAGAACTCCCTATGGAAACACTAACTCAAAATAATCACTTGGCAGATTACTCTGGAAGTGAGCACTCTTGTGAACCAACTGCCCAAATGGGAAGCATTCCTTCAAGTAATTTCCAATGTGATGTTAGGGGACAATGCAGGACCCTCTGACTGTGTGGGAATATTTAGGCAGCCTGGGCTCCCAGTCTGCTCTGCACTGTCTGACTAGGTGGATTGAAAGATATCAAATTGGCTGTGAGAGTCAATGATCCAACACAAGCAGATCTGGTAGTATGGAGAAATGAGGGCATAAAGTGTTGATGCAGAGCCATCATGCTGGAGGGCTTTACAGCAAAGGGCTTCTGTAGGAAAGGAAAAACTTTACCAAAGGACACTGCCCTATCATGTAAATCTCCTGACAAAAGAACTGTTGTTGTCCTTAAAACAATTTGAACTCCATGATCCTCCTCTGAGACAAAAGATGATTTGTTTAAAAATATTGGGGTTAAGTTACCTTTCAAATCCAAGAATAAGAGACCCTCACTGATCATCGCACTCTGCAGCTTATCACACTGGACCAGTTTCTATACCTGCCTTTCGTACCTTCTCAGTGCTCTAAGCACAGCATAACTTGCTCTCTAACTCCCAATGTACAGAAAAGACAGATTTAAATTTACAATGCTTTAGGCCTGAAGAGGAAAGAGAGCTGTTTCTCTTAATTTATGAATGATGGAACTTTTAGCTCAAGTTCTGTTGGTTTCTCTTTAGATACTTATTTAGAAAAAAAAAATAATCAAGACAACTGAAATCCCCAGACTGATCTGCTGGAGTAAGGAGGGAGCATGGCACAGAAAGACACCTCATCTCCCACCTACAATCGCACCCCAGTGCATAGCAGAAACTGATCATGCAAAGAACTGCCACATCTAAGGATCTCCCTGTTTTTCATTGTATCATTCTAAAATGAGTGCTGTGATATGAATATACTTAACATGTAAAAAAAATAGTAGACAATTCTGCTTATTGATGAGTGCATAGCAAGCATTCAACTTTTGCTGGTAATAGTTTTCTTTTGTATAAAGATGAGGCCATCTTTTAACATTGTTAGACACTATAACAAGAAACAAAGGGTGAAATCTGCAACCAAACCCCTAACTAAAGCACAAAATGCCAAGACAGTCACCCTACAAGTAAACAAAAGCATTTGTTTAGTGATGATAATGTATTACAGGAAGATCATGAAGGGTTATGGTAAGGAAGGGGTAGATTAAACATCAGAAAGGGAAAGAAATAAGAAGATATTAGAGGGTCAGTTGAAGAAAATACACACCAAAGAAATATGTGGCAATGGGCACAGTTCACAATTGTCTGATCTCCCCCTGACTTTGAGGCAAGTGAAACTGGGATCCCTTATTTTCTGAGTGATGGATTATTCATGACATCGGAGACAAAAGGTTTTAGTCCTATGGCTTTATGCAAACCTATTCTGACCTGGATTTAGTTCTGAATTCTGGTCTCATCTATCATAACAGATGTCATAGGGGACTCTCCCAGTTTTGGCAGTTTATAGATGCTTGATCTTGTGATACTTTTCTTTCCCAGTTCCAACACAGATCCTAAATTGGAAAGTATCATGATCTGGCTAGAATTTGTGCTGCTACTTCTCACCTTTCCTTGATCCAAATCTTGGCATGATTCCACCTTATTCAGTCCAAAAGTAACAACTTGTTCCTACTGTCAATATTACTGCTTTTGCCAAGCAATTTAGAGATTCTGAAGATTTTAGCGTGGGTTTTTTTTGTTGTTTTTTTTTTTTTTTTACTCCAGAGGTCAACTATATTGAGTAAAGTGCTCCAATCCATTATCTTTCTATGTGAACTGGGCTGTCTTCCATACAGAGGAGGAGGGGTTTGCATCTTTTCCCTTTGTGCTTCTTGAGGAAGGTTGCTATGTTAAGACTCTTCAATAAATTGATGATTCAGTTTAAAAGGGAAATGGCAGCATGTTCTTTGGTGGTTCCCTTCCTCATTCAGTACCAGCCATTAAAAGGAAAACTCTAATCACTTTCAGGTCAGCGTGGGCACTTTCCAATAACGTTGGTAGATACTCTCAGAAACCTGAACAAAGCTGGATAAATGATGTGCAGAGGGAGGGAAGTGAATATGTTGAAGTAGGAAATTAACTGTCTGAAGTGCATGCACATTTAATTGCATAATTTCCTAGCAACTAGAAAAGCAGAACAGCACGTTGTTACTCTGCTATTAAAAGTATGACAGACCCCAGGAAGGCAAAATTAAGCACAGGAATAGTCAGTTAGCAAATTCTGAGCAGCAGAAGTGTTAACAACCACAAGTACTCACTCAGCAGACTTCCAGAAGTGCCCTGGGTGGGAGAGCCGACGATTCAGTTTTGGCAGTTTTTCAAGCATATCCATGAGGACAGTGAAGCTAGGTCTCTCACTGAGATCAAATGACCAGCATGCTGAGAGAATTTCCTGCAAAGGATAGTTAAGGCTCATCATTTCCACTTAGTTCACATGTCAGCTGTGCAAACTGATTGATTGAGCAGTGTGACTTGAGACAGCCCAGCAAGAGCTACTTTTTAAGCAGTTGTCTTGGACATTCTTAAAATCAGTGTCCTGTGTACCAGTGGATGTCATATCTATATGACAATAATGGGAAGAGGCTGGTACCTCATTCCAATCTGTTCTCTCTCCTGTTCTTTATCTTTAGAATTATAATAAGAATAAAATAAGTTGTTCCCTCTTTTCCAGCAACCCTGACAAACAACTTTTTGGAAAGACTCCTGCAGCTGATGTACCTACATTGATTTCTTTCCCCAAACTAATAGTTGCAAGGATTTGTTTCACTCCTTCACCACTTCCAATCTGCCAGATGAGTGCCTCGGCAGGCTGGTTCTTGAAGGGCCATTCTCTTGCTTGGAGCTCGTACCACACAGTCCTGCAACATAAACAGACAAATCAAGCCTTTGCCTGCTCTTAAGATGCAGAACTCTGACAGAATCCAATTTTTTTCAGAAAGCTCTGAAATGTAAATACGGCTGCAGCAGATCCCTCCCAGCCCATTCACCCACCTTCCCATCAAACTGTCACACCCACGTCTTTCGTAGTAGGTGAGGGAAATGCAGCCTAGCTGAATCCTGTGTCTGACAGAAGAGTGGCAAAGCTCAGGTCTATTTCATATCTCATTTAGAAAGTACTTGTGACACTCTTTAGGTCTTTTTCCCTTACCCAAAAGCATAGATATCTGCAGCTTTGGAGAAAGGCAGCTTGTCTTCATCTTTCCCAGGAGCCATCTCACGAACAATTTCAGGGGCCAGGTAGCATAACCAGTCATGAGGCAGCTTCAATTCATTCTCTCTCCTGAGTTTAAAGGAAAGAAGTCATACTGGAATACAGTATTAATTAAATTAAGAGACAGCATATGGCCCATATCTGTGGTTTGCCTAATGCTGTGACTTTTCTTAAATGTTTTGGCTTGGCTAACATGTTCTTTCTAATTTTCTTTGCATATTAAAAAACACGTGCAAGTGTTGGCCTGACTTTCCAGCTCATCCTTGGGCTTAAAATTGCTTTTGTTCTGTATTATGAGACTCAATTCACAGCTGTGTGCCACTGAAAAAATAGAAAGGCTTCTACTTAAACAAAAAAAAAGTGCATTCCAAAATGTACATAGTAAAGGACCCAGATCTCCTCTCTTGCACTGTGTAATGCATTGAAGTGTGTCCCTGTTGGACTGTTTTTTATCACCCCAGAAGTGAACCATGCACTGAAACTTCCACCTACCTTCCTTCCTGAACCACACCCGAAATTCCAAATAGTCCAAAGTCAGTGATCACTACTTTCCCATTGTCATAAAAAACATTCTTGGATTTCAGATCCTTGTGTACAATCCCCTTTGCGTGAAGATAACCCATGCCCTGGAAAAAAAGTTTATATGCAGAGAAGTAAATCTTGTCTTGTTTACAAACCTCTAGCTGGGCATGCCTTTCTTTCTAATACATGTTTATTTACTCCAGCATAAACAATAAGTGGGGACACAGCACCTTCCTTCTCTGTACAGCAGGGCTGCTGGGAAGGTACTTCTAATTGAAGTGGTAAGTGACTGTGAACTTCACAACTCTGAATAAGTGTTTATGTGTATGAACAAGGAACAACTGACACAAGCTTGCCCAGTAAATTCCTAGGTGCTTCTACCAGCAAAGAAAACAGCTTCAGAAATGCTACTTCAATTGAGCAATACTGAAAACAACTATGGAAAACTGCAAATCTGGAAGATAATATCTACTTCAGAATGCATTAACATAGCTGTCGTTACTAATAAAAGAGAAGAGACTGGGAAGGAAATATGCCCTGCATGCATTTCTTCATGGTTGCCTTTTATCAGAATTCTCTCTCCCCAACTCCAGATAAGCAAAAGATTAATTTCTGTCCCTACAGGTCTTCAGCTTTCTGCCCACTGAATTAGCAGTTTTTCTTCCTCCCGTTTCAAGTTTTTCCCTGCTGCAGCACCCTGTGGTAAGGCTATTGAACTTACAAGCCTTCTCCAGCTGTGCAGTCTCTCAACATTTGCTGAGGTACTGCCCAGAACGCAAATGTCTCTGATAGCATGGTGTATGCTTACCTTAATGATCTCCTGTGCTATCTGCCTGGTTTTGTTAATATCCAAGGATATCTTGGGGTCCCTTACAAATGAATAAAGTGTCCTTCCTTTGCAGAAGCTATAAGAAAGAAGAATAAGAGTCCTAAAAAGTATCTTTAAAACATTGGAGGAACATAAAAATGACCACTGGATGCTCAAATGGTACCCTTATCATGCTGACAGAATCAGTCTTCTTCCCTATGCTGAGCATTACCATTTTCAATGATGTAAATGGCTCAGTTGACATCTGTGTGGGTGTGCACAGTCACAGCTATCACTAAAACATGTTCAAGCAAATACTTGTGTGTTTCCTCAGTGGCCCTGATCTCGTTACACTCTTCTGACATATAAGCCCAGTTTTCAAAACCGGAGCACCAGTTTCTGCTGAGACTGCTGATTACTTTCTCCCACTTTAAGAATTCGAAAGACTTTAAGAGATTAAAAAATAAGAATTGTCAATAAATAAGCTCCCTAACAAGAGACACCTCTAATATCCAAACCTCCAAGCAACGGAGGCTGCATTTATGTCTTCCACCTTCAGACTACAGAAATATTACATATTCATTTATAATTCATGCATATATTATAAATATGCATCAAATATTTCTTATACAATTATATAACTTACAAATATGTTTATGAAAATTTATTCTAAATTATTACTGTTATAAATAGGTAAGCATGTGTAGTACTGCTAACAGAAGTTGCTATATCCTTACCTGGTAATGATTGCTAAGTGAGGAGGGTTCATGCACGCTCCCATGAAAAGCACCACGTTCTCATGCCGGGTCTGTCTGTAATTCATCACCTCCTTTTTAAAGAGCTTGAGATGATCCTGATTGTTCCCATCTATCTCCAGCAGCCTGATGGCCACTTCCCCGTGCCATTTTCCCTTGTGAACCTTTCCCCATCGTCCTTGGCCAATGGGATCCCCTAGTTCGATCTGTTCAAAGGGAATGTCCCATTCCTGCAGGTAGACGCTGGTCTGGCTGGGTTTGCGATAAATCATCCCTTGCAAGTGCGGCCTTCTGTTTGGCAAATCTTCCACTTCGTCCTCATCATCTTCAGGTTCTGATTTATTACTCTCAGGTTCTTCCACCTGTTTACGGAAAGAGAAAGGAAAAGCATGCAGAGAGTCTGTTTTGAGAGGACTTGGGTGGGTTGTACCAATTTACTACAGATCTAAAGATCTCTTCACAGGACAAAGTCATCTGAGAAGGCTATAAAAAGGCATACACCTCCTCTGGGGAAATGGCTCAAGAACCACTTGAGAAACAACTGCGGGCAACTGAGTGAACCACAGATTTGAGAAGTATCACCTTCGCCCAATTAGAAACAGTTACTTTTTGTTACAAGTATTTCATTGTTTCAGCCTGGCAACAGAAACCACCAGTTGTCAGATCTTTGCACAGATCTTTGCAGCATAGACAGCTGAGTGAAACTGAAGGCACAGCCAGTCTGCACTCATGGCTCCACAGCCACAAGCTTCTGTTGTGTTACAACATGGCCTTTGGGTTACAAAAGAGGTATAAAAGGGGAAACCATTAAACCTACCTCTGCTTCATGTTTAACTCCATCTGTATCTGGCTGTTCTTTAGCACTAACAAGAGAAGACAGATTTGTAGTAAGAAATAAATAGGGTGCAGATAGTGAAAGCAGTATAGTCAATCAGATCAAAGTACAATCAGTGCTGGACTTAACAGCTAGGCACTTTCTAAGATTACTTTGGCAAATAAGAGACAAAGACTTTGAAGTGATTCTCAGTGTTTAAGTGGTAGGAATTCACTGGCAGTGGTATGGCTGCATCATTACTATGTGTTCCAGTAACAGATGCTCCTATTCCCAGTACTACAAAAACACCTATGGACTGGTCAAGTAATTTTGAGTGCTAGGTATGTAGGTTAAAAACATCAGCACACCCTACAATTCAGATCCCCACAAAGATGTTAGCTTGCCAAGCTCTTCCATGCTGTTTCAATCGTGAAACCATCTACCTTTTATTTCATTGGACCTTCCTGATCTGGGAACATGCACACACAACCATAACTGTGTATCTGAAGGCACAGTCACACTTAAAAAATATTTTCAGTTTTACAAAACCAGAAATACCTGTATCACTCTTGTTGATTGAAAGGACCCTGGAGAAGTTTTCAGATGATACATTCAGCAGGCCATTGATTTCAGTTACAACAATGCCTTCATGCTGACCTGAAGATTATCAGGTTAACACAACATAAAACAAGCAGTACTTACTTTGTGTCTGCAGTGGTTTCTGGAGGCTGTGCTATTTGTGCAGGACTGGGAATTTCTGGAAAGTATGAAAATTATTATACAAATTTTAGACTTCCCATATAGATCAGAATATTCAACATTGCAGTAACGGCTGTTTTACGTGCCTTTATATCAACCAATCCTGGTTTTCTTAACATTCACTCATCTGTAACATTTTGCAATGGCTGTCCTCATCTGTAAGCTGCTCACACCCTTTTAAATGGCCTTCAGCAATCAGAAATACTTGAATCCAGATGCCCCAGTTCTGCAAGGATTAATCTTTATTGCAGGTCATGCATTCCAACCACACTTAGTATGACCAATGTCACCAATGCATAGGAAATTCAGCTTGGATTGCAAATTCTTGCAAAATTTAGAGTACAATACTCTGTACCTGGCATCCTACATCACCAGTTCTCACTTTGGAAATAGACAAGCTGTTTCTGAGGGTGAACAGTGACCAAGAAAAGATCTTGCACATGTGAATAATCTTACATCATTTTTAAATCCCACGGGCAAGAACATCAATTCATAAAGGTGAACTCAGCATTCCTGAACTGACAGCATCCATTTATTCTAAGCATATAATCCAAAAAGACAGCCTTAACAAAGGAACAGAGCTGTGAGTAGAATCTCACAGCAGAAATCTATTGCTTTATCTGTTGTATTGGATACACTTCTTTTCAAAAGCAGAATTATATTCTTGAGTAGCATGCAGAAATTTATAAACAGTTGCTTTCCAGCAGCAGAAGGTAGTTAGTAGAATTAAAACAGTCAACTCACCTGGGAAGATAAACTGTTGTCTATGCTGAATATAGTAGGCAGCTTTTGTTTGGTTAAAAAAAAAAACACCAGAAAAAAACACAAACACAAAAAACACAACAAACAAGTTAGAGGATCATCAGTAAGTGCCACATATGCATTCCATGAATTAGTCCCAACTCACTGTTGGGAAGCAGATTAGTTGATTATCAGTCTGCTTTAGAGGTGAATTTCAGCACATGCGTTTTTGGAAGACAGATGACACTTGTCACACAAATGCTGTGTTACCAATAAGCAAGCAGTCTGGTGGGAAAACAACCCATTCAGACATCAAGTAGAAGAAGCAAACTCAGAGAACCCAGGGATGCTAACAGGCAGGTCCAGGGAAAAGCTGGTCCTTCAATCCTCTCTCATGTCATCAGATTTTCCAAGCTGCATGCAAAGAGGCTGAAGCTCAAGAGCTATATGCAAGTTTTAATTTCACTTAATCTGAATTACTTGTTCTAATAGAAAGTAACTGCAGTAGAATCCTTGCACTAAACCGGCACTGCTTCTGCTCCTTTTAAGAAGGCTAAAACAGCAACTTTCACAGGTGAGAAATCTTCTGCAAAACATAGCAGTATTTAAGGCCAGATACAGCACCTGTTTAGCAGCATGTGACTTCATTTCCAGATAGAAGGAATTAAGTTTATTCTACTATGAAAGCCTTGCCTCTTTCAGCTTTGTTAAAGACAGCATATTTGAGTCCTTAATCTGTGAAGTACGTAAATTCTTCACCATACACGCTTGTCTACACTTTAAAAGCCAGCGTTTGTTGTTGGTTATCTTTTGGAAGGGACCAATAAAACTAATTCATGCCAGTTTTCATTTTAATATTTTGTTCTAGCTATGAACTTATGATTTAAAGCCTCTGGTGACCAAAACCAGCAGGCAGCATACATTTTATGATACAGTAAGAAAAATGAGGAAAAGAATTCCACTTTCTTTTAGCACTCATCAGAAAAGAAAAAAGAAAAATAAAGTAGGAAGATCACATCATGTAAGAAAGGTACCAGAACTCCTCAGTAATTTCCCTCCTGCAAAAGTATCTTGACTTGAAACCTTGTAAGAACAGACTGTATCCTTTTATCAGATGACAGGAAAAACTTTTACACCTTGAGTAAGACTCAACTATCTATTCAGAAATCTGAATCTACTTATGAAGTCTTGGTTAGCCTCCACAGACGCCTTTCTCATCTTGGCAGAGTTCTCCAGAAAAAGATGAGTTTACCTGGGAAGTTAAATCGTCCATCTCTCTGGCCCATAGGAGATAAGTTTGGGGGAGGTGTTGCACTGGGAGGGTTGGAAGACTGGAAAGGTGCTGGAGAAGACGGCGTGGAAGAGGTTGTAGAAGAGGGATTACTGCTGGAGTCCAGGTGATTTATTGCTGGTGGGTGCTCCTGGAATGCAAGAAAAGTCACTAATGAGTACATAATAAAAATATAAAGTTTCCATTAATGTTTAATGAGACGAGGAAGGCCCATCAAACACAACACAGTTTCTCTGAGTGAGGAGGAGGCTCAAGATGTGCACAACCAATGTTTAACAAGGAGGAAAAGTCATTCTAAAGACTCTTTGCAAAGTGAAAGCTAAAGTGCCATTCTTGTTCCAGCCAGTAAAGTACTACTGTGATCTCTCCTCACTGTAGTTCCTCACTGACTTTGAGGCAGAAGATTCACATCAGTCACTACACACCTTTTTAGTGACTGCTTTGGGAAGAGTTCCAAACTGTGGTTCTGTTGGTCTGTCTACTGGATTGTTGATATCAGAAGGGACAGACTCTGTTCTCCTTATTTTGGTAACTGAAAAACAGGAGATGAGATGGAAAAAACCTTTAATCAGACTTCTTATTCTTGTGATGCCATTTGCTACTTTGATGTGCTAAGAATTTGTAGTAAACTTACTGGGAAGGAATGATATTCTACAAGCAGGTGCCTCTTTAGTACACTTGTTGTGACATTTCAATCTGAAAGAGAAACATTAAATAGCACTTGTTCTTTCCCATAAAGAAGCCTACCCTTAATTTATACTATTTATACGAATCTTAAGGAGAATTCTGGAAAGTTCTGAGCCCCAAAGCAGGTCCATGTGTTCATATGAAGAATCCCATTATACGTATCATTAGGCTACTGAAAGTCAGATAGATACTCTAGCATCTGATTTATTTCTAATAGATTTATCTTCACTTATGACTATCCTGAGACAGGGAACTGCAAAAATTTCAGCTCTCTGAACTGAAAATCCAGAGAATCAAAACTAAATCCTTGTTGCTATACAGGCACTCAACTTCCAGTACAAGATTTGCCTATGATAAGTAGGCTCTCACCCTAAACATTGGCATGCCAAAGCAACCCACTGCCAGTTTGACTGAAAAAAGTGATGCCACTGTTAACAGTGCATCACATCTTGAGATATTTGTTACTAACAGACTTGAATGAATAAAACCTAAACTTATGTAAAAGATCATCTTTGTGTGCTCACCTGCAGTACTTACACTTCACCCCAAACATCATACTTTTCTGACAAACCTGGCAAATCTGAGATAGCCAAGACTTTGTAGAGAACCTAAGCAGAGGAAAGAGGGGAAAAATAAGTTAACTGTGCCTGAAGAAAACTACATTTGTAGCTACAGTCAGGCTCCACTCCTTCAGCATTTTCAGAAAAGGGCAAGTGGTGTTATGGAAGACTTCTCACTTTTCTGATCAGTAGCAATTGAAAGAAGGCTAGCACTGATTCTGCTGGAGTCTGGCTAGCCTGAACATCTTCACAAAGCTAGAACCCAATTTATAGGGCGTGCAGTGATGGTGGTAAGACTATTAACCCTTTTACTAAAAAGAACTGATAGGTTTGTTTGGCATTAGTACTAGCTGTCCCAGTTTTGGTTTGGATTTGGGAAGGTGGCATGCAGGAAACTACAAAGGAAGTAAAAGGAAATACTTTTTCCATGAAGGGAGGAAGGAGCAGCTTCCCTTACATTTTTAGCAGCAGAAGCATTTTAGAAAAGGCACTGTTGCACACTTATTTTACTTAGCCCTTTCACCCAAGACACAAGCCCCAAAGAAAACATTACTGCTGTTGGTACACCAGTCACTGAAGAATCATAGGTCAGTTAGCTTTGGGAAAAGGATTTCATGAGCTGAACACAGAGATATTAAAAACAGAAGGAGCTGAAATACAGATTTGAGGTTGAACTTGACAAAATGAGGCACCCGACCCAACTTCAAGCCCATCTTTACTACTACAAACACACTAAACATGATGCTGTTCTGGTCTGACCCCTCCATTTATTTCCTTTGTGGTTCCCACACCACGTGTTGCTTACCTGTGTGTTACAGCTAAGCCAAAGTCTCTTCGTACCATTTGAGGGGATCCTTGGGAGAGTTCTGATGGAGAACAAAGATCTTTTAGGGAAGCATTACCCACAGGTACACTTACCAGTTTAGATGTAAACACTGTCACAGATAAAAACGAGTAGCCATGACTTCTCTAGAAGCACAGCTGAGATCAATTTGCGTTGTGCAGTAAAACTCTAAGATAGTAGTGTTTTTCATACAGAGGCAATGTAAACTAAGATTTGGTGTTAGAATCATAATTCTTCCTTCCTTGCATTAAAATGCTATGATTATGTTTAGGGATTAAGTAAGCCCTAGGCCATTCTCAGAACCAAGAGGAAAGTTGCACAATAGCTTACTCCCAATTGGCTTTCCACCAAAACCATCATCCAGTTTTCAGGTAGTCAGTAGATTTCAGTGTATTCTTTTATACTGTAAATTATTATCACCATTTTATAGCAGAACCAAGTGTGGCCCAAAAGAATAAAAAAATTTAGCTGGCATCACTTAGCTAGCCAATAAATGCAGAAAAGGAGAGCTACATCCAAAATCCCAGTCCAGTGCTCCAGTGGTTATACCAAAAAACTTCCTGGAAGCTCTCAAATATTAAGACTGCCATACTTCCTTGAATTAAATCTGTTGTCATTTTGCAAACTGGGAGACAACTCAACCTGTAGGTATCAGCACAGCCTCAAGATGGGATACTGTCAATGCTTATAAAAGCCACTCTCTCTCTTTGACCCTAGGTGGCACCAAATTCTTTTTTTT